TTGTCTTTCCCTTTTTCCCCACCATATTTTTTTTTTTGAAGAAAAATTCAACTCTACCTTTCCTCGTCAGGTAGTCGATCAATAATGGTCTTTTTCCAGATCATCCTCTGCAATCAAATATGCGTGCTTGTATAAAATAAGGATTAGTAGTGGGCGCGCCCCCCGCCATAATATAATATATATTTTCTATTAACATAGAAATATATTAGTTTTCTTTCCTGTTATTCTTTTTTTCGGTTTTTTTTGGGGGGGGGCGTGAAAACACCCTACAACAAAAAAAAAAAATTTCTTTCCTCTCCGTCCTTTCGTTTTTTTTGCTCATTATCGTGCGGCGGGTTTGTATCACCTCCTCCTCTCCCCTTTTATTGCTGTGCTGGCGATTGATTGCCGAATAAATTGAATATTGGTTGATTCAACAACAACTGAATTTTCTTAACGAAAGAAAGTTTGGATGTATTCAGGTGTGAATTTATTTTTTTAAAAGGGGGTGGGGGACTTTTAAAACTTCCAAAACAACCCCCAAATTAAAAATTTGGGCGGGGGGGGGGGGGGGGGTTACAAATACTGAGATACCTTAAATCTGGGGCGGGGGGGGGGGGTCAATTTTGTCTTTCGTCAGGTTTTACGGCGCTCGCAACTTTGTTTAAGAAAAGTAAAAGATATTTAGCAGTCTTACAATTCTGTAATGTGGTATGGGATCAGCACTCAGCACACCTTTCAACGCGGCAATTTTATTTGAGTTGCTGTGCCTTTCTTTTCCGAAAGGGTCCAGCCGAGTCGGCTTAAAGCTATTAAGACATCCAATAATAATTAATCGTAGTTTTTGAGCGTGTCGTTAAGGATTGAAACCAAGACCACCGGCATCGTTGTCAAGCATGACCCCGACCCAGGTGACGTTGTGCTCTGTTTATAAGTCAATAAGCCAATCACATGATTTTCTATATTATCTTTAAATGTTTTCCTTTCTCTTCTCTTCCTTCTACGCCTCATTCATCCTTCCTGCTCTTTTTTTCTCCTCTTCTTCCCGAAATTTTGATTGGTGGATTGCGTGGTGCTGCATGTTCCTTCTACTTTCTTTCAATTTTATTGTTTTCCTATTGTGTCCCTGGTAAAAATGTATTCAATTTTCGGTAAGCTACAAATTTAACATTCTCTTTTTGTTGTTCGTCACTAGTTACACCCCCTCCCACCCCCGTTTTTATTTAGATGTTAAGTTTTTATTATCTAACCATCTGAGCTATCCTTTTAGCACTATCCCCCGCCCCCTTTCAAGTTGGTACATAAATTTCAGCCATTATGCTTACAATGTCTCACATTTTTCTCTAGTTGTGGTATTGTTGTCTCATTTACCAACTCCTGGGGGGGGGGGAATCCTTGGCTCCCCATTGTAGCACACGAAAATACGCAGGATTCATGCATGGGGGGGGGGGGGGTAAACAAAACATATCCATCTCTCAGCGTCCCACGGAACCCTTGTTAACCCACCCACATTGGCAAGGAGACTTGAGGTGGTCCTTCTTCTGAATCAGAGGTCACCAAACTTTTTCAAAGTGTGCTGGATAACTGAGAGAGAGCCAGGGGCTTGCCGAATAACTGCCGTCTAATTGTCCAAGACGACCAACCATTGATGAGAAGAAAATGTAGAAATATGCAAGGGAGGAATTGGGAAAGTGGGCTGGATAATTGAGAGAGACCAGGCGCTTGCCGAGGAACTACAGTCTAATTATCTAAGACGACCAACCATTGATGAGGAGAAAAATGTAGAAATATGCAAGGGAGGAATTGGGAAGAGGTTGTTTGTAGAAATGATTGTCTTATACAGTACAGGTGGCTATTAAAGCAGGTTCGACCGTATTTCGTTCCCTACAATACACTGGTGTGTTCAATGAAAGATGTGTCATGCTGAAGCCAAGCGAGGGTGTGATACATTAACTAAAATTGTGAAGTCTACAAAAGTACATTTAATTTGCACTGTAGAATTTAAGGAAATTATGTGATTATTTTTGTGACCGATTTCTGAGCGCGTTACAAACGCATTTTTCCTTGCATGGTGACATGGCTGCCGGCTGGATCTAGCCTGTGGGCCGTAATTTGGTGGTCCCTGTTCTAAATTAGCATTATTTTGTATGTTGGGATGTATGAGCATTATTACTGAAAGTAACCGCTGGCTCAGCAAATTCACTGATTATATGTTGAAGAAGAAAAAAACCTTGATTTGGATTGTTGAATTGATGTCACACCCCACTCCCCCAACCCTCCTTACACACACACACACACACACACACACACACACACACACACACACACACACACACACACACACACACACGCAAGTTATGACCCCGACCTTTCATAATTTAGTTCAATACCATGAGGAATGTTTACTTTATTTGTGAAGCCGTACTTGTGCAGAATGAAAGGGGGGGGGGCTTTCTTGGCCGATCCGGTCATGAAATGATCAAAGCCTTTGAAGGTCATTTCCTCTTTTGTTCTCCATGGATTTAAAATGACTTTCCGCATGGTGTCTTTCTAAAATTAAAAATTGCGCTTGCTCCTTGAACCAGCCAGCAGTGTGGCTCTCCTTCAAGAAGTTGATCTACTCTGGGAAAACGTCTTTTTAAAAAAACCCGAATTTTATTTCCAATGTTGTGAACTCAACCTAATTTCAATGTCACGTTGTACAGTCGAGCCAACTTTTACGGTAACTTGTCTAAAGCCCCGGTTACGCGCAACGATAAATAATATCAGATTCGTCGTATGAGAGAACTGTCCGTTTTATCGAACTGTGTTGTCTGTTCACACGTTCCAATCTATCGTCCAGTTTTCTATCGATTGAGGAGATAATTGTGTTGTGTGTAGAACCTGAAGCTAGATTACACACCGAGTGACCTTGGTGAACAGTTTCTCCATTGAAAATCAACTAAATAATAAAATTGTTAAAATATATATAATAACGCACCAAATCAGATTTCCTTCAAGCAACTTTGCTTATTTTGAGACGCTGATTCCGAATATGAAATCAGTTTTTACCTACGATAATCATTTAAACAATGTTGAGCCCTGAGTTCAGTTCTGCGCCGCGGCAAATTTCAAAGTAAATCTACATCTCTGCGCGTCTCCATCAGGTGTGACTGTGATCGCACGGAAAATATCAAGCAGCGCTTGATTTCTGGACCGAGTCTCCAAACCATCGTTCAAACGTCCAAATTTTGTAAAATTTTGTGGTTACACCTAACGATTTATCGTATGATCGCTATATCGTCCAATTTTTGTACAATGTATCGTTACGTGTAAGGCATTGTGGACTGGGGTGTCTGTGGACTGTCTGCCCACCCTGAGAAGAGGCCATTCATGTTGAGGATAGGAGGGTACTAGGAGTTTTCATGAGACTGGAAAGACCTAACTGCCCTGTGACCGTGTAATTCTGGTAGGGTTCACGTTGCCCATTCCCCGCCACCAATGGCTACTGGCTAAGGTTTTCGACTCT